GAGTGTAGTTTATATCAGGTGACAGCTCATTACTGACAATTATTTTTGCAAGCTTATTTCTTAAATCGTTGTTTAATCTGCCTTCGTTTCTGTATACACCCAACACAAATTGGCCTTCTTCAGATTTGTTTAATATGGTTTCAAGATCCTGCAATAATAAACATGACAAACAAAAATAAACATGATCTTGTAATAAGAGATGTAATAAATATGTGTTAAATATATACATATATTTATCATATAATATAGTTATATTATATATATAATTGTATTATATAATAAATAAATAATATGTATATATAAAATATGTATCATATTTCTTACGTATTCATCATGATGGAAGAATACCAGGTGTAACATTCCCGTGGATGCGCAGTCGTTCAAAGTAATGGCCGCTCTTGAACCAATCAGAAATTAGCCCCAAACTTGAAAAACCAATATGGCCACCGCTACATGTTAGGTTAGTGGAACCCATGATCGCCGTTGCCGCGCGTGTACCAGGTACGCTTAGAGCCTTAGTGCGCTCGTTGTCGTCGACGTCGTCGACGTTACCGAATGTGTTATCGTGGTTCACGTGGTTGTAGCTGTTAGGCCGTGATCGACGACAACAATCCGCTGTGGAAGAGAAAGTTTTATCAGAGGTAACCTCGCCGTTTTCACGAGATTCCTATCGCAATTTCGATAAGTTCATTAAATACTCGGAACGTGAATCAACGACAAACACGTCGTGAACACGTGATCTCTCTTGTTCACATCGCGCGTGATCCTGACGTCGTTCTCTTCTCGCCTTCGTCCTTGGGTCCTTCGTGAATATATATAATCGCACGATAATCCGACCGCCACACTGTCAAACGCAAAACCGCTACTATTTAAAGCAGGAGCAAGGCCAATGTGTAAGGTAAGTTGTGTGTGAATATCACTGAATTAAATGAATAAACCACAAAAATACCTATAGCTTGTAAAAATGATAAAAATTAAGCAATTGTAAATAGTGTATCAGCTTTTTATGAGTGTACTACATATTTGTTTTCGTTTGCAGACACAATGCCTTCATGCTGCATAATAAATTGCAAAAGTCGGACATATTATGCAGAGAAGAAAGGAATAATCTTTTATAGATTCCCAAACGAAGAAAACATTCGTGAGGCATGGGTAAATGCTTGTCAAAGGAGCGAAGAGAGTATAAAAATTGATTCTGGTAAGTTGATATATATATTTTTTATATAGTAAAATATAACAAAATGACCTCTAGTATAATATTATAAATTATATCAGTATTAGATATTTTTTATTTTATTTGTATTATTGTAGCAAGAATATGCAGTCTTCATTTTGATGACGATTGTTTTATAACAAAATGGACAGACTCAATAAAAGCACCACCAAAACAACTGCGGCGGTTAAAAGTAGGTTCCATTCCTACAAAAATGTTAACTTTGGAAAAAACGAGAAAAAGAAAAATGTCCAACAGTGATATAGCAATCACAAGCAAGAGAATTAAAGTATTGTGAGTTTTTCTTTCTTTTTATAAATATGTATTTACAAATTTTTGTAAATATTGTAACATTGTTACTTTTCATATTTACCTTGCATACTTACCTTATCTTACATATTTACTTTTCATACTTTACCTTGCATACTTACCTTTTATACTTACTTTGCATACTTACCTTTCATACTTACCTTACCTTACATAATTACTTTTTATACTTACCTTGCATACTTACCTTGCATATTTACCTTTCATACTTATCTTACATACTTACCTTTTATAATTATCTTACCTTACGTACTTACTTTTCATACTTACGATATTTTATGAATTTTAGAGTAACATTCATGAAATAATCGTATGCAATATTTTTCTAGATTCAGGCCTTTGAACTTATATTTATATGATCTTTTTTCATTCTTACGATGAATAGAATGTGCTCTTAGAGTTTGACCACCTATTTCTAAAATACACCCTGAATACATGCTTATTACTGTGTGTACATAAAAAATATTTAAATTTATATTATTTATTTACAGACAAAGCTTCAGAATACCAACATACTCCGATCTTCTGAAATGTAATAAAAGAAAAGAAAAAGAATCTCGTGAAACAAGTGAAAGAGAAGAAGAAGAAGAAAGAGAAGAAGAAGTAGTTAGTCCAACATGTATTCCAAATGAAATAGAAGTACAAGAGACTTTTGAAAGAAATAAAACAGAAGACTGGAATAAAACAGAATACTTATCTTACCTTATATACTTACTTTTCATACTTACCTTTCATACTTTTTTTTTTACATGGGGAAATCTTCCAAAGACACCCTCATCCCTTGGGCGAGGGACGAGGGTAGTGTGGGAATCATTGCCATGTTTAGCATCCCAGGCTAAGGTACTGGTAGTGTATAATGGAACGCAATTTATGAAAGACATAATGTAGTATTATAGTGTAATAAGATAGTGCATAAAATAGTACATGAATAATATAATATGTAATAGAATAATATTAATTAACGTAGATAATCATTTATTATTATCATTTTTTACTTATAACACAAGTTTTTATTAGCTTCCAAGTTTCTTGTATTTTACTCTTCCACATATTAATTTATTTGTATTTGTATTAACTGTATTACATATTTTCATTAATATCGTGTTTGAATTTCACGCCAATTTCGGGGCTAATTTCTTATTGGCTCTTCTTGTATTCAGCCGCCATTATGCGCAATGTTACACCTGGTATTCTTCCATCATGGTATTCATCATCACTAATTAAGCGTCGTTTCACACCTGATCCAGATGTTCGACTTTTTATCAATAAATTATCTGAAAAAAAAAAAAACAGTTATTATTACATAACCAAATATTATTTTTTTATAGTTATTACTATTTATTTATTTTATTAAAATATCTATTTATTATATATATATATATTTTTTTTTATTTATTAATATTTTATACATTTAATAATTATTAATATTTAATAAATTTCATACTTTTTCAAATATTTATTTTACTAATTTATTATTATTTATAATTATTAACATTTACGTTAATATAAAATAATTAGACTAATATAGGATTAATGTAAGAATAAAAAAGATTGTCTTGTAACTATAAATTCAATTTGTAAAAATTGTGGAAAATGAATAGAATAAAAAATATTTTATTCTTACCACTAAGTACTGGAGTAACTGTATTCACAGTTTCAGGTGATCTGAGAGAATTGTTATTTGGAATATCGGCATTAAAATTTTGTTTTGGAGTTGTAACTATGGTCAGAATTTCAGATGTTGATATGACAGGACTATTATTTGGAATATCGGCATTAAAATTTTGTTGCTTTGGAGTTGTAACTATAGTCAGAGGTTCATGTGTTGATATGAGAGAACTGTTATTTGGAATATCGGCATTAAAATTTTGTTCCTTTGTATCTTCAACTATTATTGCTCGTAAAATTTGTTGTTCTAATGTGTTATCTTCTACAGAATTTATATCAACACATTTTTCTTGTTGCAGTGACGTCTCTTGCATATGCAATTGTGGAATCTTGACAAAAATTAATACCAATAAATCATTAATGACAGTTTTTAATTTATGAAAAAAGTTTATTAACTCAACTGTGAAATATCATGATAATTATATAATGTGGAATAAATACCTCACTAAAATATTTTTGTACTTTACTCTGGAATTTTCTTCGGGGTCTTATGTTTGGAATCAGATTTTTAAGATCCTCTTCTGTTAATATATTAAACTGCTCTACATTAATTTCTTGAGCTGTACATGAAAAACAATTATGATTAAAAATTATTGTAATATATTGTCACATAAGATATTGTCGATAAGCTGCTTAATCGTTACCAAAATAGAAGATATTGTTTTTCTTTTTTTAACTGATTAACAGAAAATAATCATTAATTTGTATTTGATGCATTCAATTTTTAATAATTTATTACAATAGTCAATAGCCAAGCACACGCGTTCGATATCCGATAATAATGTACAATTTATCTTAGAATAATTTCAATTATTTGGAAATTTATGTTATAATAGTTACAAAGACATGTATCAATTGCTTTGGTATATTAAATATATTTTGCAAAATATTAATATGCGCGAGAAATAGCATTGCAGCTATGTAAAAAAAAAGGATCGAGATTGTCGAGATTATATTCTCACGATTATTATCATAACTTATAGATAGACCTGCCCCTACCGTAAGAGGCAGCGTGGCAACAATATACAGTGCAGACATATATAAGCCTTTCTGGCGTTTAGAAAAAAGTGATCTACCAGAAAGCATCTAGAAAGGCTATGTTTGCACCGTATACATATGTCGCCCCGCTGCCTTTACGGCAGGGACTGATAAGTCTATGATTATTATAAATAAAGCAATGATCCACCATAAAGCAACTTACATACCTGTAAAATTTGCAATTACCTCATCACTGACATTCCACTCGAGCAATAAACGCGTTGCTGCGTTAGACGCCATGTTCTCGAAAATTCTCGAAGGTCTTTCGTAGCATCGACGAGAGCCACGCACGCCTCTGCCGCCGAGCCGTTGATGTTTTTCTTCGTCTTTCGACGAGAACCACGCGCGCCTCACGCGGCTCACGCCGCCGAGCCGTCGATGTTCTTTTTTATAAAGCGCGCACATTTCGATCGACAGTAACAAACGCTTGTGTGCCATACCTAAATGTATAGCTCACATACCAATTCTTTTCATTTCAGTACAAATATTGACATGTTAGTGCTGAGTGAAACATATAAATTAGCTGGGATAGCTAACTGTATGTTGCTAAATAAAATGTTTGTGACAGATATGCATAGTTTGCTACCACATCAAAACATTAGTAACAACAGCAAATTTGTTAGTTACAGCAGCAAACGCTATTACAGCAAACCATGATTAGCTATAGGAGAGAATTCTTTTTTTTCCGTGTGCGTACTTTCTCCTATTTCCTTCAATTCTGTTTACACATAAATTATATACTTATTAAATATATTTAATTTTTGCAAACAAATGTTGAAAGATATTTGCTTTCAAATAAAATTACTCATTGTAGCACGCCCCTTCTCGTCGACAACGAGGACATGAATACTTTCATCATAGCTTTTGAAGCACTTATGGGGGCTTGAATCTCCGCACAGGATCCGTACATTATCTGCCCACAGTAACCGCATTTTACAGCCTGCAAATATCAAACACATGTATAACTACATGAATCGCATAATATTTGATATGTTGTTCGTATTGAAAATATCTACGTGCTGAAAATCATGCGGTTAAAACCATATGGAAAAACAATGTGGTAAAACCACATTGTGAAAAAAATCCACATATATGCGTTCAATAATATAAAAAAAGTATTACTATCATGTGGTTTGTCGACATGTCTACAGATTTTGTCAATACAGGGTCAATTTCAGGTTTTCTTTGGTAAACAAACAAAACTATAATCATATAACCTATATTTAAAATTATTATTACCGGCCCTTTTCCATGATTATTGGTACTCATCTTGTAGAATTGTAGCTTGTTTTGCGCGGGCAAAAACATCCGCCCGATCGGAAAGAATAGCAGGATCAAAAATTCACTAGAATTTCCTAGCAGAATCCGATCCGTCATTTCGATCCGTGCTCAATAATAAAGGTGCGATTTCATTGACGCTAGAAACCAGCGCGGTGGCGTCAAGAAAATGTAGTGGGGTCTTGAAGTTCAGACCGTCTCAATTTTTTAGCGTACCGCAAAATTCAACGAAACTTCTTCCCCCACTACATTTTCTTGACGCTGCCGCTGGTTTCTAGCGTCATTGAAATCGCACCTTAACGGGACTGCACCCTAAGTTTTATAGGATCATCAATAACTTTCCCCTCGGTTTTAATTTGACTATACATATACCACTCGATTTAGATTTCCCTTTGTTTCGTTTCTCTCGAACCATAATTCCAAAGAAACTTACTATTATTACATCTTTCTTCAACGTCATTAATTCTTATCGCATGACAAATTGGCTCTATCAATAACTTTTTGCAGTAGTTTAGAATAATTTTTATATTCATATTCAGCCTCTTCGTTATTACAACTTTTTTTTTCATTTATCATACATTTCTTTAGTATTGGGCGCTACAATGA